TGTGTGTGTGTGTGTGTGTGTGTGTGTGTGTGTGTGTGTGTGTGTGTGTGTGTGTGCAGGTAAAAGCGAGACGCCCCCGGCCCGTAAAGCGATCCTAACACCATGAATAATAGAGAATGTCGTGGCAGAGAAGATAAGTCCTTTGAGCAAGGCTCCTTTTTCACAGGGCTTTCTCCTGTGGCCCACGTGACCACAGAGGTGTCACAAATTTTTCATGAGTTGTGTTTGTGGGTTGCATGTTCATATACTGCCCAGGTAAGAAACCATCCGGTGGTGATTCCCCCCCTCAGAGTGGCCTGGATCTGTAGATCTCCAGTGGTGCAAACCCAGGCTCCTCTGAGTCCCACAAGCCCAGAACCTCCCTGCAGCCAAGGGTCAAATGAGTTGTCTTACACCATTAGAAACTTAAGGCAACATTTACGAAACTAAAAGCCAGGGAAGTGGATGAATAAAAGATGCCGTCGAAACAGAAAAAATCCTCGGCTTCGGAGGAAACCGAAGAGGTTGATGACGAAGTGGAGGACGCTGAGCCAAGTTTAGAGGAAAGGGTCAACGGTTTGACCCACGGGGACACCACAAAAAGGAAAAAGAGTCGGAAGAAACATAAGAGTCCGGAGTGCTCTGAGGTGCAGGAGCTCACGGAAAAAGGGAAGAAGGTAAAGGAGGGCGATAAGGTGAAAAAGAGGAAAAAGAAACCAGACGATGATGCTGCTGAAGCTGATGCTGTGGTTTCAAGTAAAGATGCTGAGAGTGAGCAGAACAACAATGAGGCTACAACCAAACGTAAAAAGGAGAAATCTGAGAGACTTAAAGAGGAAGTGACAGATAGAGTCAAGGAGGAAAAGAAAAAGCAGAAGAAGAAGCCACCTTTAGAAAATCCAGAAGAAGAGGAGGAGATGGGTTCCAAGGATAAAAAGTCCAAAGATGCCAAGAAGAAGAAAAAGTCTCATGATGATGATGATGACTCCTTAGTCGAGGAGCAGGAAGAAGAGGAGGACCCAAAAAAGAAGAAAAAGAAAAAGGGAAAGAAGAGCTCTGCAGGCAGTGATGACGATAAAAAGAAAAAGGGAAAAAAGTCCAAAAATAAACAGGTGGACTATGCTGCTATCTACCAGAATGAGCTGCTGAACTACCACACTGACTCCTCTGATGGCTATGAAGATGAGTACTACAAAAAGAAAGGTAAGGAACAGAGAACAAGAACCTAAATGCGTTCCTCTTAAAGGAAATAAATCTCTTCCTTGACATGCAGGTCTAACAGTCAGGACACAGGTTTCCCTCAGCTACCTCCGGCTTTGACCAGGGGCCAACCGGGGGAACCCCTCTGTGATTGTTCTGCGTGAAAGCTCAGTTATGTTCCACATGAATGAAGCCAAACAGAGGCCCGAGGGCAGACAGGTGCTGGGTGCTGTCCCAGACTCAAGTAGGAGAAATGTTAAGGCCACTGGCAGGAGTCACGAAGGTCATTCTCACAGCAAATACAAATACACCACATGTACTGTAGCCTTAGTATAAAACGTCCATCTAAAAAAAAGTTCTTTGCAAAATGTACAAAACCTGCACTGAAAATGTTTCTTAAGTATATTAACTATATTTAAAAATGATAAAAGTTAGGTTAATGCTATTTTTTTGCACGTGATCAACAAACCTGTAGCTGGAAGTTTGTTACTCTGAGGCTTTATGTGTTTAAGATAAGATAAGATAAGATAAGATAAGATAAGATAAGATAAGATAAGATAAGATAAGATAAGATAAGATAAAACTTTATTGATCCCACAGTGGGGAAATTTGCACATCACAGCAGCTCAAAACAGGACAGGGTGAGATAGAATAAAGAAAGATAAGTAAAAGAAAAACAAAAAAAGACACTATACTCATGATATATAACAATGTACATATACCTAGTACAGTACATAGATGCATATACAGTATATGCGGGTGCATATTACTGATGCCAGTGTAAGTGAATTGTCCAAGTGACTGATGACATCATGATGTGTTATACAGTCTAACTGCAGTTGGAATGAATGACCTACGTAAGCGCTAATGAAATATTTGTAAAATTCAGTGTGTTTTGACATTGCATCTTTCTTAAAATGAAAGTGGATTGATTTCTAATCTTAACTTTTCTGCCAGGTCAAAATGACCCATGAGGCTGAAATGAGGCCTCATGGGCCATTTTGACACAAGGAGCTTAAACCAAGTGCTCCTACTCTTGAACTCACTCACTATTCAGAATCACAAGAGAAACAGCATGAAAGAGCCTGCTGGAAATGCAGCACTCAACTAAAGAAATATATTTAAAAAACGAACTCAAACATCTACCCACCACATGTCTCGCCCATGCTGGCAGAGCACTCTCAAGAATCAATATGGTTGCTTTTATGATGACCTTTTTTCCGTTCAGCCATCATGCTGCTTTCAGAGGAGCAGTGAGCAGTCTCCCGTCAGATCAGGAGCATTAAAACACTTCTGTGTTCACGTCTTTGTTCTTTTACTGGCTCACTCAGTTCTCTGACACCAGAAGGAGTCTAACAAAAAGCCCAGTTTTACCAGGCCACTCACTTTCAGATTTTATCAGGCGTCTCTCTTTCCTCTTCAAGTGAGTTTTAAAAGCTCTGCTTTCTGTTAATTAGACATCCTTGTTTTTTCTTTTGGATTGAGCTCAGCCTTTTTCTTTTCTCCTCTGTGTTCCTGTCATTGTTAAACTTAGCATCCACTCTATTTTCTTATACAGCGTGAGCCAAAAGTCTCAGGACACTCTTTTATTTCAGAAACGAAAGGGTTAATGACATATTTGAAAACCCCAGCAAGTAATAGGTGAGAGGACCCATCTCTTAGTCTATGTCTGAAACATAGCTGCCAAATTGAAAGCTGCCATTCTGGATCAAAGTCACTTTTTTCCAATGGGATGGACAGATTTGTCTCAGGAATGGATTGCCACAGTATGATGTGTAATATCTGTTGGGGTTTAGATTTTCCATAAGAACTTATCCAATGAAATAGCACAAATGAAACAAGAGAAACAAATGATGTTGGACTATTAGAGATTATTAGACTGTTAGAATAGGATTCTATTCTTGCTCACATTGCTCTTAAACTTAAATGTTAATAAAAAAACTTAAACCTTGCTTAAATTTTTTTGTCATATTATTTATTATCACCCTCCTGCTCTTCTTTCAGTCTACGAGGTGGTCACTATTACAGGTGATGTAAAAGGAGCTGGGACCGATGCTAATGTCTTTGTTACCCTTTTTGGAGATTTTGGCGTCTCGCCTAAGGTTCACCTGGCGAGCAAGTAAGTTTAAAAGCATTTTAATTATCGTTGTCATTTTTCTTTAAATATATATTTCTTAATAACAAAAAAGTGGACTGATTACTATTTAACTTTTATTTTCATGTTGTTTTGTGAGCTTTACAGATTTAGCACCTTGACAAAGTCAGTAATAAACCTTTAATGTTTTCCATTCTTCTTTAATCCTTCAGCACAGAGAAGAGGTATTTGGAAATCAGTCTGCCAAAACGTGGTTATGATTCTGCCCTTGTGTTTGTTTGTATTGTGGACATAAAAGCTGTATAGGAGAGAATTCCTGTTTTTCATTAGCCTGATTACTGCAAGGCTGGTGAGTCCAGACAAAATGAATTTCAGCATCAAAAATCAGCAGTTTATAAAACAAAGGTTGGCATTTGAAGCTGGAATCTCTCTTCCATACAGCTGTAGAAAGTTTTGGACTCAGAATATCCGGAGTAAGGAGGAACTATTTGACATGGCCGGTCTTTTTTCCATTCAGAAAGCAATGAAAGAAGACCACGATGTCATTTATGCAGATGATCAAATGACTCTCAAGGGATCTTATCTGCAGCAGGCTCCTTTTATCTCTGCACACATTGATTGACAGATAGAGTTACCTATGCAGCGTAAAGGATATACGGACTCATTGTCACCCACTCAGGACCATGTCACCCACACCTCCCAGTGGTCCCATTCATTCACCCCAGTCCACACCAGCATGTCCTGTATTCAGTACTTCCATGCTGTGTGACTGCTGCGCACCTCAACGACATCTCATACACTAACAATATGGTAATGAGACTATTTGAAGAAACCCACTGCATAAGTTAGAAGTTTCACCTTACTCCGATATACATTAGGTCCTGCCTGTATTGTGTCACCATGGATTTACACTTCCTGACACGATACAGGTAAGGGAGATTTTGATCTCTCCAACCCTATTTGCCAAATTGGAAAAAAAAATGAAGGAAGATTAAAAATGCTTTGGAAATTCAATGCAATGCCAACATTTAAATTGCATGAATTCTGAAGTTTGGAGAATTTTTTTTATTATTATTTTTCTGCAGGTGACTAAAAAGAGGAGCAGGAATTGATGTGTGTTGGACATTGTTTCATGACAATTTGCACCCTAGTTATGCAATCCACAAGTTAGAATAAAGCTAAATACAGGGTGAGTCAAAAGACTAAAGACACCTTTTTATTTCAGAAACAAAAGGGAAAATGAAATATCTGATTACCCCAGCAAGTAATGGGCGAGGGGGCCTATTTTAGGCTGTATTCCAGAATATGGCCGCCATCTTGAAAGCAGCCGTATTGAATCAAGGGGAAGTTTTTTCGATGAGAAGGTGGCCATGTAGCATTTCAAAGAAGATCAGAATAGTTACAGAAATCAATTGGCACAATCAGATTTACAATATCTCTTGTGGTTCAAACGTTATCAACACAGGAATTTGCAACAACTGTTAAAGCTGCCTGTGGTGCACAGCTATTTGACATGTTCATTGTGCTGTCCCTGGTGCTGAACACAGAGATGTAGGTGCAACTGTTCTGAAATTGGTGATCTTTCTGGATGTCAGTGTCAGAATCACCTCAGTCATCTTTTTTTTGTTAATTCCATCTTCAGTTATCTTTACAAACAACAGTAGGTTTGAACTTTCTGTGTTGATAACTTATGAATCACAAGAGATATTGCACATCTGATTCCAGCAATCCATTTCTGAGACAAATTTTTCTCTTCTTTGATATACTACATGACCCTCCATCCCATTGGAAAAATTTCACATTGATCCTATATAGCGGCTTTCAAGATGGTGGCCATGTCCCTGACAAAGCCTCAAAGATACAGTAGGTCCCTTCACCCATTATTGCTGGGGTATTCAGATATTTAAATTTCCCTTTAGATTCTGAAATAAAAGGTTGTCCTTAAACATTTGTCAGTTTTTGACAAAAAGGAGTAGGATGTCTTGACATGGCCTTGAAATTTAATCTCTGTGAGGGGTGGACATACAGACATGAGTGAGAAAAGGGGAGGAGGGAGCATTGAAGTGGCAGAGTGGGCAGGAAGGTTTCCTACACCACTGCCACAAGGGCGCAGGGCAGCTTAAGTCGGATCAGGCACAAGAGATGCCATTTGCTGTTTCATAATTCCACTCCTTTATCTGTCTGCAATAATCTCCTTGAATCAAAAAGAGGAAGGTTTAAAGCACCATGTGTGTCCCTTCAATTTACAGAAGCCGGACCGCATTTGAGAAGAACAAGACGGATGTTTTTCGTATTAAAACGCACAATGTGGGACCTCTGAAAAAGCTAAGGTATTGCAGGACACAGTTACAAGTCACTCACTACATCACAGTTTCAGCTCTGTGGTTAAGTACGTCTCACATAGGACATCAGTGGCTTTGCAGTGCTGGCCTTCGTGGGATTTTGTCTAGTCACAAAAGGTTAAGTCCCATCTGTTGTCGTGCATTTGTGTCTGACTGCACAGGAGGCAGAGTTACGTCACAGCAGGGTTGTAATGTAACTAAGTACAAATACCTTGTTACTGTACTTAAGTAGAATTTTTGGGTATCTGTACTTTACTTGATTAATTGTTTTTCAGCATACTTTTTACTTTTACTTATTACATTTTTACACAATTATCTGTACTTTCTACTCACTACATTTTTTTAAAAGGTAAGAAGTAGAAAGTCATTACTCCTATTTTATTCAGAGTTGTAATTACTTAAAACAAATACTATCCTGATAAAGTGTGTCTCCGGGGTAGAGTGAGTTTAACTGTGGTTGGATGAGAAGTACAAATACATACCATTCTGACACCCTATTAGCTTGTACACAACCCATCACAGCTGCACGCTGTTAGAAAAAAATGTTTTTTGGAGAAGTCACCTCCCAATAAATGTCATTTTGGAAAATCTAACTGCTCACTTTTACTCAGTACTTTTACTTTTAATACTTAAGTAGATTTTGTGTTAGACATTTACTTTTGATACTTAAGTACAAAAAATATCAGATACTTTAAGACTTTTACCCAAGTAATATTTTTAGAGAAGACTTTAACTTTTACCAAAGTATTTTTATGATAAGATACTTGTACTTTTACTSAAGTAATATTTTTAGAGAAGACTTTAACTTTTACCAAAGTATTTTTATGATAAGATACTTGTACTTTTACTCAAGTATCACTTTGAGGTACTTTATACAACACTGCGTCACAGTCAGAAAACACGAACGCCAAAATCAGAATTAGTAGCCCCGAGTTTCTAAACACAGAGAAACTGTCCTGTGGATGGGAAACGAGCAGGTGTTCAGCTTCAAGAGCAATCGCTGCTTGTAGTCTCAGAGTCATCATCACTGTTGTCATGGAGAGAGCTCTGCCGACAATCACACGCAATGATCTGTCATTCCTGACTGTTAAAAATAACACCAGGAGAGGAAACTTGAGTCATGCTGCCAAAAATAACTTGAAACGGTGTTCTAAGGGGATTGTGGGAGGAAGTTCTTTTCTCCAACCAGCTGTAAATAATACTAAAGCTTTTACATACTGGAGTGTGACAACATATTTTCTCAGAAATGCATGCAATATGAATTCTGACATGACTGAATCTGATTTCTCATTCCCAAACTGCAGTCTAGATCACCAACCTTTCAGCTCATGATGTTACACTGAAGAATGACTCCAACTCCGTTTACAGGAGCCTGCTGAAACATATCTGTCTTCATTAAACCCGACAGCATCTCATAAACTGAGTGCATTATTTATACGGATATTCCATCACATCTCACTTAGTCTCCTAGACTTTTCTGGGCTGCACTGAGGGAGAACAGTTATGTTCCTTCATGAGTCCTGAAGATAGTCCAACAAATTACAAATAAAGGTTTACTGAATGTGACAAGCTCATTGGAGATTACTTGCAGTTTGCAAATCATGTCAAGCTCTGACTGTTACATTTTCCAGGATCGAGCACGACAACACGGGAATGAGCGCCAGCTGGTTCTTGGACAGGATGGTGGTGACGGATGTGATCCGGCCCAATATGCGCTATTATTTCGCCTGCAGCAACTGGCTGAGCCGGGAGGAGGGCGACAACTTGTTTGTCAGGGACCTACTGGGCAGCCTGAACCCCATGGACGTCCCAAAATGTTGGTCACTCAAACACATCCAAAGCAGATTCACAAGATAAAAGCAATATAACAGCTGATTAATGAATTAAATACTCCTGGGATGGATTAGGAAGGGGCAGTCCTAGTCAATTTGGTACCCAAGGCAAGATTTCAGGTGGCACCCCTTGTTAAGTTTTTAAAATCTCACTTCCAATTTACATACATTCACATACCGAATTCAGTCGTTTTGTTTGTATTATTTTTCATCTTTAGAAACCAGGTTGTTCAATAAAATAGTTAAAATTTATTTAAAGGGGTGATATTATGTTCTTTCCAAGCTTATATTTCAATTTGATACTAAAATAAAATAACTATGTCACATTTTCAGCTTATGAAAGAGCAATATATTTGTAAAAATACCCAAAACAATTTGCTTTTCATCTTGACAGTTTCTAAACGCCTTGAAATAGGTCTCTGTCTCTTTAAGAAAATCCAACCACTTCAGAGCGGGGGTGGGGGTCAGCTTCACTGAGTGAGAAGTAGTGTTAAGAGCAACAGACGGTTAAGTTTCACTTTCACTTTGCTCTGTTACTGCCGAGAGCCTGCAGGAGTCATGGACGGGGTGTGTGGGGTGGGGGGTGGGGAGGTGTGCGCCGCGATGAGGTGTTTCTGGTCCCCACCTGTCGTTTTGCTCCTCAGCATGGCTTCCTAAAAACGCTGCAGGATTTCTCAAACATGCATGAATGAGTCAAAGCAAGGCTTTGGGCATGTTTTGTATTAGAGTATAACATTGTAACATGATATAAAACTAAAAAGGTTGATTTTTACAGGATATTGCCCCTTTAAAACAGAAAACCAGAAGTCCACCTCATACCTGCCAACATTTGCTGACAGCAATGAGGAACACCTGTTCATGTTAACGAACAGCAGTGGAGTGAAACAGTTCTATGGGGGTCCAGGGATATACTCCCCCGGACAATTTTGTAAGAGATCTTCTCTTCTTCCTTAATAGACCATCATCCTGGACACATCATCACTAAAAAGATATAAAAGATCTACTCAAAACAATGCATTCTTCAGCTATTTGATGAGCAGTTGACTAAATTCTTGAGATTAATAAAATCAGCATTTTATGAAGGTAGAACATTGAAAACCTGGCTTTAACCACAACTTTATCAGAGATCATAACTGAAACTTCCATTATCCCTATTTTGTTTTATTTTTACACACTGAGCACCAGTAGTTAGTCTTGTCTGCATCAAATGTTACTTTGTAGCACCGCCTCTATGGATGGTTCCCTTTGCATTTGCCTATACGCCATGGGCCGGCCCCTGGATTAGGGGATGTAGTTTTCTAAAAGGCACTCAGACAAATTAACAAATTAGTTCAAGTAAAAAAAGAATGTATTTGAAATATTGCCACCAGAAATGAGAAGATGAATGCATTTGAAAAAACAAATCAACAGTGACAACCACATGTCTGTTGCACATAGAGGTGCCTGAAAGTCTGCAGATCTTCCTCCAGTTTCAGCTTGTAATTGAACGCCACCTGAGTGTAATCCTCAGGTAAAACCAGTCCTTGTGACCTCCGTTGTAATAAGATCTAACATTTTAGCACCTGTAGTCAATCAAGTAAAGCATTGTGAAGATGCTGCGCTATAAGGGAGTGGTCAGAGCAATGCACCGAGTGTTGTGAATAATTAATCTAGAAAGCATTTTAGAGATGAATTGCAATGAACCTTTGGAGTAAGAGTAGAACTAATGGCTGCAAATGGTTACTGATTGTAATTAGGTTTCTTGTCTTTGCAATGTTTAAGAATAACCTACAGTCCCTTACAATTTTTATGTTATTTTTATCTAATCTTTTTGCATTTCATGTCTTGCAGTGAACAAATATCTTGTAAGCGTGTTCACTGCAGATATGAAGGGAAGCGGAACTGATGCAGATGTCTTCCTGAATATCTTCGGAGAATATGGTGACACAGGTTGTGCAAAAGTGATTTGATTATCAAAGTTTCAAAAGCTAATTGTTTCACACAAAAAAAATAATGCAACATAAACAGAAAATTGCAGTTGTGTTTACTTTAATCCACGCTAAATGTTCAGTTTATGATTCATTCCTTTGTAAGGAGAAAGAAGACTGGACAGTGACAAGGACAACTTTGAGCGTGGGTCAGAGGACAAGTTTACCATAGAGGCTCCAAACCTCGGAAGGCTGAGAAAAATTACTATTGGCCACAACAATAGAGGCTCGTCGGCTGGGTGGTTTCTAGATAAGGCACATACAGTTGAAACATGCATGCATGACCTTTAAGACTCCTTCGTGTTCATAATACTTCTGTTCCCTACAGGTGGTGATAGATGACATGGGCAACAAGGAAGTCTACGAGTTTCCTGTTAATCGCTGGTTTGCCATGGATGAAGATGATGGTAAAATACAAAGAGATGTGTTGGTTGGATCGCTGCAGCCAATGGGTGAGAACGCATGAACTGTCAGTTCCAGCACATTTGAAAACAAACTGAAATTACAGATATGATCTAAAATCTTACGCTCGATTCTTATGATGTGTTTAATTCACCTCAAAGTGCTGGTTACTGTTAAAAAACTGTATTTTTTAATCAGCAATAATTTAGTAACATTTATATTTTTGTAGGAATTGTGTACAATGTGCAAGTGATGACTGGAGACGTCAGAGGGGCAGGAACCAACTCTAAGATCCACATGGTCATGCACGGATCCAAGGGCATGAAAAACAGCGGGAAAATTTTCCTCGAGGGCGGCGCTTTTGAGCGCGGCCTGATTGACATTTTCAACGTGGAGATTTGTGAACTGATCAGTCCTCTTAGCAGGATCACCATTGGACATGATAATGGTGCTGTGGGTGCTGGATGGTACTGTGAAAAGGTACAGTGGACTTTCATTATTTTTTTTGTTACAGTTGTTCTAAAAATGTCATTCATCCATCAAGCGCTCATTTCCCTTCCAGGTTGTAATTTACTGTCCATTCACGGGCATCGAGCAGACATTTCCATGTGGGATGTGGCTGGATGAGGATGAGGGGGATGGATTAATCGAGAGGGAACTGTATGAGATGGTCTCTCTCAGGCAGAAAAAACACAAAAGTGGGCCATTTAACTCACCTCAGTGCATTGCACAGTTACAGAACTGTAAAACAGATTTTACTCCATGCATTAAAAATTATTTGAAATGTTTTTATTTACTCCAGAGTACCCATGGTCTCTGTGGATTTGGACTTCTGATGTGAAAGGTGCAGGCACAGATGCTCAAGTGTTTCTGCAGATCTACGGAGAAAAGGGCAAATCGGACGAGATCAAACTGGAAAACAACTCGGACAGTTTTGAACAGGGGCAGCTTGATAAATTCATGGTAAGATCTGAATCACCTGATAGCAGGAAAGTTTAATCCGTTGTTTGTTACATTATTTAAAAAAGTAATTTTTTTTATCTCTTCAGTTTATATCATGTGTTTTCTTCATTACTGCAGGTTGAACTGCCGGACATAGGAAGACCGCTGAAACTGCGGATCTGGCATGAAAAGAGAAATCCATTTGCTGGCTGGCATTTAGCCAAGGTGAAACTCTGCACTGTCCGTCTAATGTGTCAATATAAGCCAGTAGCACTGTTCTACACTGTCACCACAAAGTATAGTTAATTTGAAGCAGGCTTATTACATAGCATGATCCAATGCTATTGGATCGTGGAACCTATATGCAGGTTCTATACTTTTATTCATTTTTTCATCATTTAAATTTTAAATATCAAACATCTTTTAGTAAGTTACATGGCATTTACAACTATACAGTTAAAACAGAAAAGCTGAACGACTGGCTGTAAGTTGTTTATCTGATTTAATACATTTAATCTTTGAAATAGTAGGGGGCAGGGAATAACAATGATGAAGAAAAGAGTAATTCAGGTATATACAATAGATAGGCTTGGATGTAGCTAATTTGAGTCGATGGTCGTGGCATTTAAAATGTACATGAATGGATTCCAGTCAGAAGTAAAATTCGTGTTTGGCAGTCAGGGAAGTTTAGGTTCAGGTTTATGTTGTGGATGGCTGGATACCTTCAGCTAAATGCTTGAGTGAAAAAATGTGTTTTTAGTTGATTTAAGTAGATGAAAGTTGAAATAATGAGCCCAATTCAATGCACAAACAGGTTTTATGTCTGTTATGCATGTTTTATGCTTTATAAACTTGTGAATAACCTATTTAAAGAGCATAAATAAATACTTTATATTTTGTGTTAGTTTGGCAGCAGATTCTAGCTGCACTTAAAAGTACAAGCCTACTGCGGGAGTCTCCAATATATTAATAAGAAAACAAGGAACTAGAGTGCAAAATGATGACAGCTAAGTCTATGATTTTCTGCAGGCCACTTTGCTCAAGACTCTAACCATGGATAAATATTCTTTTGAATGTGGCCGTTGGCTGGATATTAATGAAGATGACAATGAGATTGTCAGAGAGCTTCCAGCCACAGGAGCACTTATTGATGAGCCACTACCCTGTAAGAAAAACCCATTCAGACTTGTACTAATAAGACATGTGCTGTAACATCACCAGATGAGTGAATAGAGTTGCTTAGCATCGCATGGAGTCTCTGTTTCTCTCCTCAGTGATAAAGTATCGTGTCACAATCTGCACTGGTGATGTGAGTGGCAGTGGCACCGATGCCACTGTATTTCTCAGCATATTCGGTGACCTGGGCGACACGGGCGAGCGCCCCATGATCACGAGCAAAAACAACGTCAACAAATTCGAAAAGGGAAACGTGGGTGATTTATTATCTGACATAAACGCAAACAATGAATACACACTGTTGGTGAAATGCAGTTTAGGCATAAATGCTCTTTCTGCCCTGCCCACAGCACGATGAGTTCCTCATCGAATCTGTCTTCTTGGGCCAGGTGCGCAGGGTCCGGGTGGGTCATGATGGCCGTGGTGGTGGCTGCGGTTGGTTCCTGGATAAGGTGTTAGTCAGGGAGGAGGGACAGCCAGAGTCCGCTGCCATTGAGTTTCCCTGTTCCAGGCAAGTACACATGACTTGACATGCTGGTGAGATGATGGTAACTGGTAAATGACCTGTACTTTGTGCCTTTCTACCCAATCAGACTACTCAAAGCTCCGTACAATCCCTCTATTACATCACTACATAGCAAATCTGAACAAATCAGTATATAGAATCTAATCAGTGCTTTAGATCACATTCATATATTGATGGGGCACATTGGAGGAAATGAGTGCTTCAGTGTTCAACATGTGACTGCATACTGATGAAATTTAACCTCTGACCCTCGTTGGAGGACAACTGCTCTAACCACTGAGCCACAGCTGAAAAGTGTGTGGGAAAATCCTGCTTAAAAAGGAAAATGATGCACTTATCAGCACCTCTGAATATCCCTATTCAAGTTATGCAACATTTGTAAATGTAGAAAAATGATAAATTGCAGTTTAGCAGCATGAGCCAAGCTGAAATTGATTCAGATTTGTGCTTTTGAAGGTAAGTAAATGGAAAAAGTCTTGTTTAAATCCTTTACAACCTGATATAGCTTCATTGTTTGTCATTGCTTTGGCGTTAATTTATATTTCATAATTAGGAAACCAATTTAAGAGTATTAATCATTTTCTGATCACATCATTAGTATAAAAAGCTATTTGTCTTCCAATGAATTAATAAAAACCCCTATTATTTACTAATTAATTCCCTGGTGAGAAATCCATCCAGCCCTAGCAAGGAAAGTTAAAACCAATCCAACATTTTTTAAACTCTCCTAAGTGATGTAAACTGTCCATGCCTGGGTTCACTAGGTTTACAGTGGCATGTGTTCAAGCAGTTAAATAGCTGAAGGATGGTTTTGCCATTACAAATGGACTCTAAATGAATGCGGCCAACCAGATCTTTGGTTTGGTAACTGGAGTCAAACCGCAAGGCTGGGTGCAGTGTTACTACTGGAGAAGAAAACCTCCTTCCTGTCAATCTGCTTTGATATTAGAGAGGCTTGGAGAGCTTAAAACGAAGAAACAAGGCCAAAGGGACTGCTGCTTTATTCTAAATAACAACATTTATAACACTCTGGTTTATGTTGAGGGCTATCGTTCTACATTTATTTTTATTTTCTTGTGATTTCCTATTGACATTAAGCTACAGTCATGTTTGTTTTTGTCTTGATTTGCTCCAGTTTCTTAAGTTTAAAAGATTCAAAAGAAAACACCACTTTTATTAAAGAATTTTATAGCAACATTTTCAGGAATGTTTTAATTTAGATGGTGAAAATTTAGAGTTGACGGTTTTTCTTGTAAGAAATAATTTGATCACAGTTTGCTGATCCAGGTGGTTGGATCGGAATGAGGATGACGGACAGATTGTTCGTGAGTTAGTTCCAGCTGGAGATGGCCTGCGACTCTTCAGTAAGACCCACGCGTGACACGTTCATGCTATCTCAAGAGGCCATTCATGTCACTTGTGGGCAAGCAGGGAACGAGAAATAATCATTTTACCTGTCATCAGATGTCAACTACCACATTGCGATCAAGACAGGCAGCGTGAACGGTGCCAGTTCCGACTCCAGAGTGTTTGTCAAGCTGTACGGGGAGAAGGGGGACACTGATAAGGTGATACTGGCCGTCTCCGACAATGACCTCAGGAACTACTTTGAGACGGGACGCACTGATGTCTTCATCATGGAAACATTTGATATCGGAAAGGTAAGCTATTTGGACGTCCACGTACCTGTCAGATAACTCAGGTTCAGACAAATAACTGAGTATTTTAATCACATAAAATCTGTGTTCTCTGTACTCGTAGATCAACCGTCTTCTGATTGGTCACACAAACGAGGGCTTACGGGCCGGATGGTTTCTGGACAGCGTGCAGATTTCAGTACCCGTTCATGGGATGCAGTACATGTTCCCTAGCCACCGCTGGCTTTGCAAAGATGAGGCTGATGGAAAAGTGGAGGTAGAAATCTATCCCAGTGAGGTCTTGGACATTGAAAAATGTAAATAAAAAAACAGACGTACATTTCGCTTTTTCGAAGCATTTTTACTTTTCACCACAGTTATCGCATATCTTCCCTACAACAGTGATCAACTATGAAATAACAGTGGTCACAGGTGATGTGCGAGCAGCCGGAACCAATGCTAACGTCTTCTGTCAGATCTACGGAGAAGAAGGGAAAACTGAAGTCCTCGCATTGAAAAATCGCTCCAACAATTTTGAACGTGGCACCACTGAAATCTTCAAGGTCTGTTTTGGGCTTCATAGTATTCCAACATCTATATAAAAAATAAATAAATCTTTGACTTTGCCTCTTCCCTATAACCTAGATTGAAGCTTTGGATGTTGGAAAGATCTATAAGATACGTATCTTTCACGATGGGAAAGGCATTGGAGACGGGTGGTTTCTGGAGATAGTAGACATCAAGCGGCTGACAATGGCAATGGTGCAGGTTGAGGTCAAAAAAGAAGAGCCGACCAAGAAGGACAAGAAGAAGGATAAGAAAAAGAAGAAGAAAGAAGAGGAGGAGGTAGAGATAATCGAGGAACTCCAGGAAGTGGTGGAGACGTTTGTTTTTCCTTGTAGCCGCTGGCTGGCCAGGGATGAGGAGGATGGGGAGATTGTGGTTGAGTTGCTAACGGAGGACAATGAAGACTTGGAGTGTAAGTAGAGCATGAATGTTCTGCACTATGTTTTAATTATGAGAGGGTGATAAATTAGGCCAGAGTGATCATGTGCATCTGATTCACTGAGTTCTCCTTCCAGTAAAGTCATATGATGTGTATGTGTACACTGGGACCATGTGGGGCGCTGGGACCGATGCTAACGTCTACATTAACATCTATGGAGAGACTGGTGACACGGGGGAACGGTGGCTCAGGAAGTCCAACAACCTGAATAAATTTGAAAAAGGCCAGGTACATATTGAAAGAAAAACAGCAGTGACCAATGCTTGTTGTGGTATGTTTTACTATTCAGAACCATTAAAAAGGTGGTAAAATTATAACTCTCTGCTAGCACATTTATGCACATAACTTATAAATGAATATATTTTTGTCCTTCTAACTAATCTTCAACAAGCAATTTATAAAGTATTAACTGAGAAATATGATTACCCTGGCTGGCTTTCTCAAGAACCCGGATGCGGCACAAAAATCTGAATTTTAGAACTGAAACTGAATCATGGAACTGAAAGTGAAAGTAGACAAACTGAATTTTTAATTGACCAAAAACAGTTTCAAAGCAAATTAGTTCCAATTCAAAGCTTTAAATTCAGTTTCAAACCATTAAATTCAGTTTCAATTTAGTAAAATTCATTTTCAAATCAATGCATTCAATTTCTAATTCAGAAATTCAAATTCAATTCCTGCTGGCACAAGATTTATCCCATAGAGAAATACTACAATTGTTAAATTTTACCTGTTTATTTTAATCAGATCTGCTTTTTAAACCTGTTTTTGTTATCCAAATTGCTATTTTTGTTTTTCTTACCTAATTTCTCAAAAATAAAAAAGATGCATTTCAAGAGTTTTGAGGTTTAAATAGACGTGTTTGACATTCATTGCTTGTTTTAGGCAGTTTCTTGCAATATTTAAATCCATCTTCACTGTTTGTTTGTGTGTGACTTAGGAGGATGTTTTCAGCATCACGGCAGTGGATCTTGGAGTCCTGAAGAAGCTGAGGATCCGACATGATAACAGCCAGGTCGGTGCTGGCTGGTTTTTGGACAGAGTGGAAATCGTAGACAACAAAGACGACACAACGTGAGTGAAGAAGACGTTAGAAAGACAGCAGTGATTCAGACGTGCAGCAGCAAATTTAAATAGGAATAATTCCAAACATCGATGTTATGTCGAAGTTATTATGATTTTGTCAAACAGCATCTATTTAGGTGCACAGACTTTAAACAAAAAGAATCAGCTCAATCAGTGGGTAGGACAGAATATGTTAGAGCTCCTCTGTGTGGTGCAGGATGGTACTAAATTTGGGATTTGTAAAAAAAGCTTTACCTGTTTTCTCAATGTTCTCTGAACTCCTCATCCTATCTTCAGCCACTTGTGTTCAGGCTCTTGTTCTTTTGGTCATGATCCACTCCTCACGATCACAGGTGAGGGTTGGAAAGTAGACAGAGCAGTACGTTGAGAGCTTTTGACTCAGCTTTCTTCATGACCGACTAAAGCATTGCTGTCATTACTGAGGATGAGGCCTTGATGTGTAAATGCACCCACTCCATCACTCCTGAACGAGACACCCAGATGCTTAAACTTCTCCACCATCCTCAGATATTTATATTTTACAGTTTATTTCATACTGTCTGTTTTGTTATACAGGTACTTTTTCCCATGTAAGCGCTGGCTTGCCGTTGATGAAGATGACAGACAGCTTGCCAGGGAGCTGGTCCCTGTGGATGAAGCCTTCATGAAGAAGGGGGACGAAGATGAAGATGATTCTGAAGCTACGCTCGGTTTGGAACAGAAAGGTAAGAGAAGCATTATGGCGGGCCAGTAAAACAAAACAAAACAATAAAAGCTGTGATACTGTAAACTAACCTCTGATACTATGGTTTTTCTACATAAATCTGTACTGTTTATGTTGCAGCTATGTCTACAACGTACACAGTGAGGATAAAAACAGGTGACAAGAAATATGCAGGGACAGATGCCAACGTCTTCATGACCCTTTATGGCACCAAAGATGACACAGGTAATACACCAGCTCATTATTTTGTAGTTTGTTTTTTTTCACATTTAAAAAAATACTCTGTTTTGTGTTGTGTGCAGGGATAATCACCCTGAAGGCTTCAAAGACTCACAGAAACAAGTTTGAACGTGGTATGATCGATGAGTTTACCGTAGAAGCTGTGGACCTTGGACCCTTGAAAAAACTGCGCATCGGACACGACAACTGCGGTACATGAAATCTACAAACTCATTTTGTGTAAAACAAAAAATATAAATGATCTGACGTTCATCTTCAGTTTGTTCAAAATCATTCATAATGTTGTTTAAGGAGGAGGATCTGCAGGTTGGTTTCTTGACTGGGTGGAGATCGACGCTCAGTCCATGGGACAGAAGTTACGGTTCCCCTGCGGCCGTTGGTTGGACAGAGGGGAGGACGATGGAGCCATCATCAGGGATATTTTCCCGAATCCTCTCCAGACAGAGTTTTACACACCGTGTAATCCTCAGAGTTCTTTCAAATGCTTCCATTTTAGTTGTTACTATTACTGCTGCACGTAACTGTTCTTTTTTTTTTTCTAGTTGTTCCATATGAGATTAAAACCTTTACGAGTGATGTGTTTGGAGCTGGAACAGATGCAGATGTTTTCATTGTCCTGTATGGAAGAAATGCAATTTGTACCCAGCAGAAAGCTTTGTGTGTCAACAAAAGGGAGCGGAGAATGTACTTTGAAAGAGGAGCAGAGGACATGTTCATTGTTGAGGTACAATAGAAATGGTGTTTTTGAAAAGCAGGTCTTTGAAGAACTGGAATTAAGGTAGGCAGGTGCATTCTGGGCTTTGCTGAAAAAGTTTGCGTTCCACTCTTTTATTTTTTGTAGTTAGAAGATGTGGGGGATGCAATTGAGAAAATCCGCATTGGCCATGACAACCGTGGGGTCAATCCAGGCTGGCACCTGGACAGAGTGGAGATCAGACGTCTGCTCAGGAAGGGAAAGGTATAAACTGCAGGGGACTGACACAGTATAGGCAGTTGGTTTAATTTAGATCAAAAATACTTTAAATTAAAGCTCTCATCTGATAGATAGATCAGTTTGACACTGCTATAGAAAAAAAAACAACAATAAATCATATTTTGATTCCCGAAAAGAGACTTTGTCAACATCACCTCACTCACATCCACCTCTCTTTTTGGTCAGTAGGTGGGGATGTTTTGTAAGAACCCAAATACTGAGTCCAGACCACAAACCAGTTGCAAGAAGTTTTGCTCACCACATTTTTTTCTCCAAATTCATAAAACACCAAAACTGAATCATAAACTAATGTTTCTCTTGATTTGTAGGGTTCAGAAACGGTCATCTTACCATGTGAGCGCTGGCTCGCCAAGTCAGAGGACGATGGAGAAACGGTGAGGGAGCTGGTGCCCTCTGACATTATCACTGAGAAACTTTCCAGAGATGGCAGCCTGAAAGTGACTGAGCTGGAGGTGGAGGACGCCCTGGAGAGTATGTGTCCTGTATTTTCCTCTGCCTCTCGCTGTAAAACTGAATGAGTCTCTGTGATGACAGCTCCAGAAAATTGCTTTTTCACTGTGATTTCTGGAAATTGCCTCAGTCCAATCAGCATGTGCCTGTTTGTGATCCCCCCCCACAGCTCACACATACAAAGTGTCAGTGATAACAGGGGACGTGAGCGGAGCCGGCACGGACGCTAACGTCTTCCTCACAATTTACGGAGACCAGGGGGACACCGGGGAGAGAAAACTGAGCAAGTCAGAGACAAACAAAAACAAGTTTGAGCGGGGCTCTGTAAGAAAACTTTTGATGAGTTTCTCTTTTATGTTTTACAGATTTTTACATGAAGATGGAATTTTTTTGTGTATTTTATAAACAAATTCTTTGAAATACAAGGAGATATTTGTTAGATTATTCATCCACTGCTTTTTCTTTTAGGTTGATAAGTTTACAATAGAAGCTGTTGACCTTGGACAAGTTTTCAGGATAAAAATCCGCCATGATAACAGCATGGTGAGTGCTGACTGGTACTTGGACCAGGTGGAGGTTTTTGATGAGGACACAGAAGAGGTCTACCTTTTCTTATGTGAGCGTTGGCTCTCCAAGAAGAGGGAGGACAGGCGCATCGAAAGAGTCTTCTATGTCAAGGTGAGGTAATTCTATAGGAATTTTGCTAAAAGGGCAATATTATTTGTTTCTCAGGCACACATTTAAATACTATACCATAATAAAGTATCTATGTTGCCTTTAGTTGTTATTAAAATGCTGTTTTATGTTTAAATAGAAAATAAACGTATCTTCTCATCACTTTCTCTTCTAAATGCATTGAAATTGGCCTCTGTCTCTTTAGGAACCACCTTCCAAAAAAACCACCTCCCACTTCTGTCCCATCCATTTCAGTGTGCACGGGGGAGGCACTTTGCCATGAGGAAGTTTGGCTTAAAGACACATCCCAGAGGCATTTCTGGTCCCCACCTGTCGTTTTGCTCCTCAGCATGGCTGCCTAAAAACGCTGCAGGATTTCTCAAACATGCATGAATGAGTCAGAGCAAGGCTTTGGGCATGTTTTTTATGAGAGTATAACATTATAACATGATATAAAACTCAAAAAAGTTGATTTTATATGATATTGCCCTTGTTGGTTTAACGAGATATTGAACAAGAAAATACAACGCATGCACACACACGTTGACAGTAAGCGACAAAGTTTATATAGTATAAAAGCTGGTGATTCAAGTGTTGTACAGGACTTATGAGCTGTTGAATTTATCATAATAGAATGGTAAACTGGTAAACAGTTACATACAAAAACACTCTAAAAATGAAATGTTGGATTTACTTAACCATGTTATGTGACCTGGTTCCACTTAACTGAGTTGAGTAAATTCAAAGCAACATACTCATGTTCTCTGGTTAAAAAACTGGTATATTGCTTTGATTTTACTCAACTCAGTTAAGTGGAACCAGGTCAAATAACATGGTTAAGTAAATCCAACATTTCATTTTTTACAGTGTTAAGTTGACAAATCTTTTCTTGTCCAAGCTCTAAATTGTAACTGTTCCCTATGTGGCCATCTGTCTATTTAAGTTGTCCATGGTTTTTCTCCACAGATGTTTAGGATATAAAATGCCTGCCGACTGGATCTTATTTTTATTCAGGGTTAGTACTAGGAGTGTCCCAATACCAGTTTTTCTCAAACCGAGTACAAGTATTTCAGTTTGGTTGCTCACCGATACCAAGTAGGATTTAGAAGTAAAACATTACACAATGTCTCTGCAAACACATTTCTTTTATTTCAATTCAATGCAATTCAAAAGTACTTCATTGCTCCCAAAGGGAAATCAAGTGTTGTAGTAACTAATTGAACTAAAGAGTTATTGTAGATGGTGATGGCTGTGGGCAGCAAAGATCTTCTTCAGAACAAGGTTTCCCTCCTTATAGGCCTACAGCCCCTCTGACTGGATCAAATCAAATATTCAGCATGATATATACGGTTGCAACATTTTAAAATTAATAAAAAACATGATTTTCTTTCAACTCGTGTAACTTTCTTAAACATGGAACTATATACACTGTAACACATGCAGTGAAATATTGATACCAGTATCACAGTATCAATATTGGTATCATTTCCGAGCATCGCAGCATTTTGTGCGAGTGCTTGTAAAAATGCTGGTATCAGTATTGGGACACCACTAGTTATCATCACAAGTCTACCAATCCTATCATAAGATGGTTTATGTCGGTTTGCAGTCATCAACAAATAATTTAATCACATTACAACTGATGACTGCAGCTTTATGTTCTTGTGTGTTAATTGAACTTTTTGTTGATTTACACCACGGACAACGTTATTTTGTGTATACCTAACAGGCACACATTGTTGTGTGAGGGATGCTTTGGAGTTTGATAACTCTGACAATATAGTGATGGGTGTACTTTATCATGTTTTTCTCTAAATTTGTTGACATCATGAAAGTTGAAGAAAACATTTGTCATCATCACAATGTTGTTTTAGTTATAAAGTTGCTTCGACAGACGAGGTTAAGTGATTTTTTTTCAACTTCATTTTCTTTTCGTTTTCTAAATTTTGCCTTTCTGTGGTAAAGTGCTTTCAAGTGCAAGATTTTTTTTGTGTATGTGTTTTCATTAAAACAGCATATAGTTGGACACTTTTTTTCTGAAATGAACTCATCAGTTTTTGTGGCCAAGGCAGCAGTCCTTTGTACTCAATCAATATGCTTCTTTGAAATTCAGAAATCTCCCACTTCTTTATGCAAAGATGAGTTTAAAACAGTTTAAAAAATTGTAGTTTAATGGCTACCTAAAACCACTTTTAGAAAAAGGCTTTTCATTTGCCCCATCTTTCAGTACACTAATGAGTAAAGTCACCTTGAATAAGATTACGGCACACCAAGACTTGAGCTGGCTTTCTGTCTGTAATGATGTCAGACACCTCTTACAATCTACATCTGTCAGCTGCAAATACAAGCTCCTGACATTATAAACAATTGTCTGTTTTTGTGTATCACGTCATGTTTGTCTGCCTCATTGTGTTTTTCTCCTGTGTTTTAGGATTATGAAGGAGTTCGAGAGAGCCTAAACAGCAAAAAGAACACGGCTCTGACACTAAAGAGTCTTGACAGCAATATGAACAAAAAGAACAAAAAGAAGAAAGAGGAAGAAATTGAACTCCCAAGTAAGAAACATTCACACCATCATCACATTTTTTCCCTGTCCACATCTCTGTGAAAGTTTAATTGAACAATTAAATCCTCAAAATGAGGGAATAATTTGAGTGTTTTTTTTCTTTCTGTACAGTCATACCGTACCACATTACCATCTGCACTGGAGTGGAGCGCGATGCGAGCACCACCAGCAGGGCCTACGTGATCATCATTGGGTCCAGTCACACTCAGACTGAGCGGCTGTGGCTGGACCTGCCGGACAGGAGGAAGGGCTTTCAGGCTGGCTCTCTGGAGAGCTTCGAGGTTCATGGTTCAGATGTGGGGGAGTTTAAAAAGGTGGAGGTGAGCGTGGGCTGAAGCTTTTAGAGTTTGAGTAAGGATTGTGCTCTCTCGTGCTTTCTCACACACACACACACACACACACACACACACACACACACACACACACACACA